CTAACATACATTCCATTGTGTCGAATGCTGGTCTGAAACAGATGTTTTTCTATCACATACAGATGTTTTTCTATCACATGCAGTACTGTAAAGCCGCATGACGCCAACGTCGTCGGCGCCTGCTCTTCGTCGGCTTCTCCGTCTCCTCGCCCAACACGAGTGGCCGCGACGTCACCTAGTCCCGCAGATCGCGCTCCTGCCTCCGCCTGCCTAAATCAAGTCCCTCAACCGAGTACACACAACGAAGAAAGTCCGACAATTTTATTTAGCATAGTTTATCTATTGTAATAGACGACCCACTTCAACAACGCCAACGTCGGCGCTCTGGGACGCTCTTGGGATCGCGACGGAGAGAATATCTCGACGCTAAACCAGCAGTCGAGCAAGAAGGAGGCCGTGACTCTAGGTGCATGCAGATGATCGGGGTGGGGTCGCCATGCACCACCTCCTACCGCCAGCGACCAGGATTGTCTTTGTTGTTGCGGTGCCCATATTGCTTAAGAATGTCTTCGAGCGCAAGGTACTGGCCATACTACTTGGTCCACCTGAGGTACAGCCCAAAGCTCGAGAGACAAAATCAGTAAAAATCCTCAACCAGTACCACAACCGTAATCGTCCGTGCTGCGATCGAGCCGTCGATTTCGTTGCCGGCGCCCAACCGGACGCTGTGGTGGCCAATCAAAAACGACACGTACGTAAAGTGCATCCACACGCCTAGGTGGTCCCATGACGCCATCGTGTCTAGCGAGTGGTTGCGGCCGCCAACGCGCAGAGCTCGATGTTGACGCCGTAGTAGAGGGCGATAGGTTTTCCAACGAGAAAGCGTGCGGGCAGTCGTCGTCAGAGAAGAGTGTCGCCCTCGGCGGAAGCTCGGAGAAGTGTACGCTTTCATTGGCCACCCACGTTTCTAATGATATTTGTTGTTGTTGAAGTGGGTCGTCTATTACAATAGATAAAACTAAGCTAAATAAAATTGTCGGACTTTCTTCGTTGTGTGTACTCGGTTGAGGGACTTGATTTAGGCAGGCGGAGGCAAGAGCGCAATCCGCGGGACGAGGTGACGGCGCGGCCACTCGTGTTGGGCGAGGAGCCGGAGAAGCCGACGAAGAGCAGGCTGCTCGGGCTCTTGTACGAGGCTGTGGTGCAAGTGCAGTTGAGCGACGCGTGCCG